AATTCATGTACACGAACCAAAAGCTAGTAATTTGATAAGAAACTAGACCGGGAAATAAGCACTCAATAGTTACTTAGAGCATCCTTATCAGTTGAGGTTATTTCTTGGTTATTTGTGAGTCCCAGCATCCATCCACCTCATCCTCCACCATCTCATTCAATACAAAAAACCTTCTCCACATCAGTTTTGAGTTATTTCTCAGTTTTTTATGCACCCGCCATTTAACCCACAATATTTTAATTATTTCTCTTATCTACTGGGCCCACAAATATACCATACTTTGCAGGAGAAATATTTTTGAAATAACTCCTCCCCACATCAACTATTAACTTTAGGTGGAGAGAATTCATGTAGAAATAACTCCTAAATAACTACTAGTGTGGATGCTCTTAAACTATTAAAAAAAAATACCTTGCACCTATAATGCGAAGCGTTATGCTGTGGGATCGTGCTCACCTTGCAAGGTGGGCATGGGTTAGATTCATAATTTATATACCGTAGATTCATAATTTTTAAACTGTAGATTCATAATTTCTATACCGTAGATTCATAATATAGTTATGTGATTTGTGAATACAGAGTTCAACAATTGGGAATATGAACACCGAAAATTATGAACATATAGCTCTATAATTATGAACATATATTTATAAAATTATGAACATATAGCTCTATCACATGTTCACAAACCTAATACTGTAGATTCATAATTTCTATACTGTAGATTCATAATTTCTGTACTATAAATTCATAATATCCGTACTACGAAGACGAAATAATGCGATTCCGAAGAGAGAAACGCCGTTAACGATAAGTGAAAAATAATTTTTTTTAAATTAGAACGGCATCGTTTTCGTTGAAAACGACGTCGTTGTGAAACTGTGCCTACCTTGCAAGGTGTGCATGATTCTACAGCATAATTATTTGCCCTATAATGCAAGTCTTTTGTACACCCCTTGACGGGGTAACATTTATTCCGACAGCTAATTACATTGGAGTGTGTGGTCCGGCACGTTTTGTTTAGTTTACTAATTTGTTCTTTTTTTTTTTTTTTTTTCTGATCAAACTAAAAAAATTTTAAAAAAATAAATTCAAATTGACCATTGAAGTATACACAAAAATGTAATTAAAACAATGAACTTAAAAACAAGTGCAATCGACCCCCTCAACAAGTTAAAAGTGTATAAATAAAAATGACACATAATTAGTTATAATAATTAGATGGTGACATGGAAAATCTATTATTTGCTCCAATTGCACGCTTTTAACTTGTTGAAGGGGTTAATTACATTGTTTTAAAGTTCAGTGGCCTAATTGTATTTTTTATTTTTTATTTTTTTGTATAATTCAGTGGTTAATTTAAATATTTTTTTCAGAAAATAATATTATGTTCTTGCTGCATGTATTTCTTACACCTAATAAAAACTTTATACTCTCTCCATTCCATTTTGTTGATATGGTTTGATTAATGAGGCTTGATTGGAGTTATTTTTTATTTAATTTTTCATAATATTAAATTTAGTATTAGTATATAAAATTTATATATTTAGAAACTACACAAAAAGTACATACTATTAAAAACAATTTTTTTTAAAAAAAAATAATTAAAATTAGTAAAGGAAATAATCAATGGAGAAGCTAGAAACAGTTTGTTTGACCAATAAATAGTAAATAGGCTGGGCCGGATTTTGGGCTGGGCAAGTTGGGCTATAGCACAGGCAATTGTTATGCCATGGAACCGTGTTCACCATTCATGGTGAACACGGTTCCAACGGTGTTAGTACATCGTTATCTTTTTTTTTTTCTTAATTAATTGTGTGACTTTTCTTCTTCATTTTCACATTTCGCGGTTTCACTTTAATTTGAGGTGAGCAATGATTTCGGACATTCATAAATTATGAATTCATGCCTGCACATTCACTTTGGAACCATGCCTACACATTCCCGTCCGAAATCACGTACATTCATAAATTATGAATCCATGCCTGCACATTCACTTTGGAACCATGCCTACACATTCACTTTGGAACCATGAGATTATGAATTTTCTGTTATAAGATTATGAATTTTCAGTTATGAGATTATGAATTTTCTGTTATGAGATTATGAATTTTCTGTTATGAAATTATGAATTTTCTGTTATGAGATTATGAATCTACATTACATTCATAATCTCATTCTCATAACAGAAAATTCATAATCACATAACAGAAAATTCATAATTTAATAAATATTTTACTTTTATGCGATTATGAATTTTCTATTATGAGATTATGAATTTTCATTACATTCATAATCTCATAACAGAAAATTCATAATTTGATCAAACGGCGCCGTTAACTCCACATCCACGATTTTTTTTTTTTTTTTTTTTTTTTTTTTTGCGTAAAAACGACGTCGTTTGGACTTGTGTTCACCATTCACGGTGAACACGTTTCCAGGGCATAATTTGCATAGCACAGGGCTCCAAATTTTAGAGGACCCAATATTTAAAGGCTCCATGGAAAAATGGTAGGAACATGTGCTTATTGTATTTCAACTTGGAGATTGGAGATTAGAGGCAATTTATATCCTACACCATGGCGCGCTTTGCACTATTCGCCTAGATGCAAAACGACGTTGTTTTAATTTATTTATTTATTTATTTTTGAAATTTTCCGCCCCAGTGAATGGCAGTAGTTTTTTCTTTAAAAAAAACCCGTTGTTCAAGAATGTACATAATGTTATACTAGAATACACATAATTGTATACATGAATGTACATAATTATATAACAAAATATACATACTCTTTTTAAAAGATAATACACATAATCTAACATAATACATAATAAACATAAACTTTTAACATAATACACATCAACTATTAACATAATACACACAAATTTTCTGATTCAGATGTACATAATTGTATAAAAAGAATGTACATAATTGTATAAAAAATGTACATAACTGTATGAACCAATACACATAACTGTATGAACCAATACACATAACTGTATGAACAAATACACATAACTGTGTGAACAAATACACATAATCCCAGCAACTTCCTACCGCGCCTCCCAAAACGACCCCAAAACGACGTCGTTTTGGGAGGCGCGCGGCGCACAGTGCTATGTGCGTCGTGGTGTAGGGTATAACGATTGGAGATTAGAGGTTCAAAACTTGTGTGTTGTTGACATCTCCCTTTTTTAATCCTTTTGCATTGCGAACACACTATTATTATTATTATTATTATTATTATTATTATTATTATTATTATTGTTGTTGTTGTTGTTGTTGTTGTTGTTGTTGTTATTGTTGTTGTTGTTGTTGTTGTTATAATTGTAATTTATTCCATAATATGTTTTTGTTTTTTTTTTGTGCATAACAACATTTTACCACCTTCTTATTATTATTATTATTATTATTATTATTATTATTATTATTATTATTATTATTATTATTATTATTAAAAATACAGTATTAGTTTTAAAGATTGTGATCTTGGTATGGCCTCGTTTATTTACCAGAACGGGATCACAAAAATCTAAACCCGACCCTGTAAATAGGACAAGGCAAAATTGGACAGAGGATATCAGGGCCGGTTCTGAGCATGTCTAACTTGTGCGGCCGCACAGGGCCTCCAATTTTTGGGGGCCCCAAATTTAAAAAAAAAAAAATAAAATTATATGTATATATATAGTATACATGATTTTAGGCTAAGTGTATGGAGATTAGGCCCATTTGTAATAGGTGAAATTAAGTTCAATTGACAATTACTTTAAAACAAAACAAAAAAAAAAGAGTATATACATACATACATATATATATATATATATATATATATATATATATATATATATATTCTAATCATTTGATTCCCTTCCCTACTTTTGGCAATTCCCAATTCAAAATCTCAAATAACAATTAGCATCTTCGATCGGGACCTTCTGCTAATTAGCATTTACTATTATTTTTTTTTTTTTAAATTCAGTTATATTCCCAAATCTTAATGAACAGTGTGGTGATATTAATGAAAATGAATTGTATATTGATTAATGAACAGTGTGGTGATATTAATGAAAATGAATTGTATATTGAGCTAAAATTGTTTAGAGAGATTATATCGAAAGAAAAGATATGGGCAGTGAGTATATTGAATTAATTGAAACAGATGAGTTGTTTTCCAAATGCTACTATTGCATATCGAATATTATTGACTATATATCCCAATTACTGTTGCCTCTACAGATAGGAGTTTTTCAAAGTTGAAATTATTGAAATCTTACTTACGATCAAGTATGTTGCAAGAGAGACTCAATGGAATAGGTTTAATCTCCATTGAAAATGAGCTTTTGGAAGAAGTTGATATCAAAAGTTTGGTAGATGATTTTGCGTCTAAATGTGCACGGCACATGTCACTTTTTAAATGAAATTTTAGATGTATTTCTATACAATATTTATATTTTGATACAACTTTTTAAACAACGTAACTATTATTTATATATAGAAATTTCTTGAAAATAGAACTCCAAATTAAGATATTGCACAGGGTCCCGATTTTTATTGAAACAGTCCAAAGAGGAAGTAATAAATAGGTTTTTCATGTTTATATAATTTGAGCCCTGACAGTTGCAGTATAAGATTTACCCTCCATCATCGTGTAGGCAACGTTTATAGGATCTGAATTTCTTGACTTCAACTTTAGCCTTCTGTTTTGGGTTGATTGGAATGTCTTGTACGTTCATGCATGATGCAACTTTCGTAATAATATCATAATTTGTCAAAGTCATGCAATGGGTAATGTACGTACCCATCACTGGAGTGTCATTTCATCATCTCCATATATATATCTTTAAAAAGGCATCTTTCTTGGTATCTTAGACACACCCACACAGAAACAAATTTTAAAAACACATCCAATCCAATTATGAAAAACTTTGGTTGTTGGAATTATTATGCAGCGGCACAACTCATCTTTGTTGTAGCTGTGCTGCCTTGTTTCCTTGCATGGGAGATGAAACCACCATCAATAAGGCAGGCTGAAGCTCTTCTCAACTTGTCAACTGTTGTTTCTTCATCAGCCTCACAATCCAATCTAACAAACTCTTGTAATAATCGGATAGGATTCGTTTGCAATGATGGTGGAAGTGTTTCTGAGATCAATCTTCCTAATTCTGGCCTCAGTGGCACTCTTGATTATCAGTTCAATTTTACTGCTTTTCCGAGCCTCACTCGTTTCAACATCAGTGGAAACCTCTTCTCGGGATCAATCCCTCCTAACGTTGGCGATCTGTCCAACTTGGTTTTCTTGGACTTGAGCAGCAATAGGTTTGATGGGATTATACCGCCACAGATTGGGAACTTGAGGGAACTTCAATACCTCTCCCTTTACAACAACAACTTTGCTGGTGTTATTCCTCATCAGATTGGAAATCTTCAAAAGGTATGGTTTTTGGACCTTGGACTTAATAACTTTGAGGTTCCTGACTGGTCTAAACTTAAAACTTTTCCTGTGCTGAGGCATCTTAGTTTGCATTCCAATGGGTTTAGATCAGGGTTCCCTAGTTTCATACTAGGTTGTCGGAACCTCACTTTTCTCGACTTGTCCCAAAACCATTTCAATGGATCACCCCTGGAGTCATTGGTTACCAATTTGGAGAAGCTTGAGCATCTTCGTCTTTCTTCCAATCAATTTTCAGGGCTTTTACCATCTAACATTGGCAGGTTGTCAAACCTCAAAAGTCTCGAATTGTGGCGCAATTCTTTTCAAGGAGAAATCCCGTCTTCTATAGGCCAACTCAAAAGTCTTCAGGTCTTAGATATGGTTGGGAACAGACTAAATTCAAGTATTCCTTCTGAGCTTGGTCGTTGCACTAACCTCACTAACTTGGTTTTAGCTCTTAATTCACTCTCTGGAGTATTGCCTTCATCCCTCTCATCTTTGACCAAGTTGACTAAGTTGCACTTGTCATATAATTTTCTTTCGAGTAATATTTCGTCCAATTTTATCTCCAATTGGACCAAGCTAACGTCTTTGGTACTTCAGAACAATTCTTTTGGTGGGAGTATTCCATCTGAAATTGGTTTGCTCACAAATCTTGAATACCTTAACTTGTACCAAAATAAGTTTTCAGGCCCCATTCCACCTCAGATAGGGAACTTGCAAAATTTGATTTTCTTGGATATATCTGAAAATAGTCTTTCAGGTCCAATACCTCAAACAATTGGAAACCTCACAAACCTAAAAACTCTAATTATTTCCACCAATAATCTCACGGGAATGCTTCCGCCACAGATGGGAAACATGCAAAAGTTGATTCAGTTAGATGTATCTGAAAATAGTCTTTTAGGTCCAATACCTCAGACAATTGGAAATCTCACGAGTCTCAATTCTCTAAGATTGTCCACCAATAACCTCACCGGAATGCTTCCGTCTCAGATAGGAAACTTGCAGAATTTGGTTGATCTGCACTTGTCAAAAAATAACCTTTATGGTCCAATACCTCAAACAATTGGAAACCTCACAAGACTCAATTATCTACAACTTTCCACCAATACTCTCACTGGAATGCTTCCGCCCCAAATAGGTTCCTTGCAGAATTTGATGTATATACACTTGTCAGAGAATAATCTTTATGGTCCAATACCTCAAACAATTGGAAACCTCACTCAACTAGAAGTCCTACTACTTTCCACAAACAATCTCACTGGAACACTCTTTGCTGAGAGTATGAATCTAAGATCAATGCTTGTTCCTTCAACCTTTTGCAATTTAAGTTCTTTGCAAGTTTTGGTTTTGGCTTACAATTCATTAACTGGGTCAATACCTCAATGTTTGGGGAACATCAACAAATACCTCTGTGTGTTGGATTTGCACAGTAATCAATTTCATGGGATGATCCCTACAAGTTTTGAGGTTGGTAATTTCTTGAATAGACTTAATTTGCGTGATAACCAGTTAGAGGGAACAATTCCTGAATCCTTAATCAATTGTCAAGAGTTGGAGGTTCTTGATCTTGGACACAATAACTTGGGTGGTACGTTTCCAATGTCGTTAGGAGCTCTTCCAAATTTGAAGGTTCTTAGCTTGAGGTTTAACAAGTTGAACGGTTTCATAACAAGTACAAGGATGGGAGAGTACTTGTTTCCTCAACTTTGTGTCTTGGACCTATCTTACAATGAATTCACTGGGGATTTGCCTGCATGGTCTTTCAAGAATTTTAAAGCCATGACAAAAGTTGTTGAAGATAAAATACCACAACAACAAATGTACTTAAAGCAAAGATATTACTTCCAAGATTCGTTAGTGGTAGGAATGAAGGGGCAAGAGCGTGAAGTTGTTAAAATACTAATCGCGCTTACTGTTATTGATCTCTCATGCAACAAATTTAAAGGCTATATTCCATATAGCATTGGAGATCTTCTTGCTCTACGAGAATTAAATCTATCACATAATATGTTCACTGGACACATCCCAGCGTCTCTTGGAAATTTATCCATGCTTGAATCCTTAGACCTTTCTTCAAATCAAATTGGTGGAGTAATCCCTGGACAATTGACAAGTATTGCATTTCTTGAAGTGTTGAATCTCTCACATAATAAACTTGTGGGATGCATACCTCAAGGCTCACAATTCAATACATTTGAAGCAAATTCATTCCAAGGAAATGATGGATTGAAAGGAAAACCTTTGTCACAAGGTTGTGAGAATGACATGAAACCGCCTACACCAAAGGAGCTCCACCAAGAAGATGATTCAAGTTTTTTGAGCGGATGCACCATAAAAGTTGTGGCAATGGGGTACGGTTGTGGTATTATTTTTGGATTATTCATGGGAAGTCTCATGCTCGTAACTGGAAAGCCAGAATTCATTGCAAGGTTTGTTGAAGAAGAAACATACAAACTAGCAATGAAGGTCAAAAGAAGAAGATCAAAGGCAAGAAGAAGAAGATCAAAGGCAAGAAGAAGAAGAAACTAGCTTTGCATGTCAATGGTAAGTAATCTTATTACACCAAAGCAATTTACAACTATATATGGTATGTTTTTGTTTGGTAATGCATAAGTATAGATTCATGAAAGAATATCCTCTGAGCTGCGTTTACTAAATTTTGTAGCTGGCTTCTCTCGCGATGACAAATTCTAGCTCGAGACAGAGAGAGTTGTTAAAGAAGTGTTTTGGTTTGTTGCCGACTCAGAAGTCACCTCCCAAGTACTGTGTAATTTAAGAAATAATCTCTAGCTAGCTAGGTGTTGTCACATGTTAATTTGAGTTGTATGGTTTTGGTATGATACCAAATGTTTCTATTCAGGCATGATGAACAATGTCTATATGTTAATGTCTTACAGCTTTTTTTCTAAATAAAATGAATTTGTAATGGCTATGTTTTAAAAAAAAAAAATGTTTGTTACTTTCTATATAACCTAAACAATTTGCTCAATAAGGTCTTTAATTAAGCTGAATAATACAAGTGATGATATATGTAGATATGGTTATACACTTATACCTGGGTAGCATGCATTGAGTCTCAAAGAAAATTTCCTTTGCTTTCTCCCAAAAGAAAAAAAAAAAAAAAGGAAAATTATACTATATTTCTTCTAGATAAGAAGTAGTATTTTACTTATTTATTTATTTTGATGAGAACGGTATGAATTGTATTGAATGAATAATTACAAAGATACAGATAATATGAATATATATAATGAGGGAATCACAGAAGACTAGGATAAATCACAGGGAAATCGACTAGGATAGAGAGTCATAACAATTAGAGCTAGGGATATATATAGAGGATATGGATCCAATGAGATCACCTAATTAGGCGAGATTATGAGATCCCATCTCATCCATTGAAAGTCAAATAACAATTAAATAAGGATAGATTTAAAAGACAAGGATTAAAGATCAATTAAGTTGTAACACAAGAATGGTGGGATTGAATTTTACTCTGCAATTAAGTTGAACCTTATTCATTGTGTAGTTTTTGAGCATCAAAGTATGTTTCTCATTGAAATTCTAGCTTGTAAAATGGGTAATAAGAATGACTATTACATGCACTTGTGTTCTTAATGTAAACAACTATCATAAATAGGATTCTTAGCTTGCTGGAGTTGCCTTATCATTTCTGGTTTGATCCATCAACGCGCACGTGAACGAACACAATTTTGTTGTATCCACGCGAAATTCTGATCTTCTCATCAACATATCTGAAGCATAAACACGAGGAGATGAGTAAATTGGTTGTTGTTTAAGTGAGGAAACATAAAAATTGACACCCCTAAACTATTCTTACAGTAACTCCAAGACGAAGTTGCTTCTCAGTTCGGTAGGAAGTCCATAAGGCCCAGCTATGATGGCTCCATCATCCATTGCGAGATCGTATGTGTTGCCACCCGATTTACTGTATTTTAATCCATGTTAGATCAATCGAATTTGGTTTATCATCCAAAAAGAGTGTGTGTGAAGCCGAACGAACAATGCAGCATTTGCTGGAAAACTTACGAGTATGTGCCAGTCATGGAGAATTTGCAGCCAAGGAATAAGTTCACGACAAACTTGAGTTGGCCGTTTGGTTTGACAATCTAACGGAGAACGACCAATAGCCGTTCATTGATAGATATCATGACCAACAAAAGAAGAAATTCATGATTATCCTCAAGAAAAGAGTAATAAATTGATTTCAAATGAGATGGGATGATATATATATATATATATATATATATATATATATATATATATATATATATATATATACATATATACCTGCATTCCCATTAGACCATTTGAAGCATTCTCTATCCAACTATCAGTTTCAACCTGAAATAGGGAAAGCAACTGAATAAAGCTCTGATGAATAATCACTACTGGAAATTATGAAATTTCCGACCACCTGAAAATAATCTTAAATCAAGTTGAAAGCAAAAAGTGGTCGGAAATAGCAACAAAGGTTTTTCCGGATACCAAAAGTGGTCGGAACAAGGCTTTCGACTTGATTTAAGATCACTTGTGGTTGGAAATTCCATAATTTCCAGTAGTGAAATGTGGTTTCATTTCAACATTCATAATTTGCATAATGGAAGAAAATATGCAAATGTTATGTAGACACAAAACTTGGAATAAAGAGGATATGGATTGGAAACTTCACAGTTTACTTAAGTGCTACCTGGGAGCTCCATATCATTTGCCATTCTCCTTCAATAAGCTCCAGTTCACTGTTTCCATCCTTTTGATTGGATGAGATGAACTCATCGATTGCCTGGTAATTCAAAAAAAAAAAAAAAAAAAAAAAGTGGGAAGACTGGAACTCAGGCTTGATATAAATAGTTAAACCTAAAACTAACAATGAAAGACAAAAAATAACTTCACCTCGGCTACCCTTTTGCCTTTGGATATGACAGACAGAAATCTTTGCCTTGGGTCTGTTTCTTTTTGGAGAACAAATGTGGTTCCCTGCACTATAACAGTCCTTTATACTTAGCACAATTGTTAATATCAAAGGACGAAGTCGAGGCTTAACAGAGTTTCGTGATTTCTTCTAAGGATAATAAAAGGAATATGGCAACGTATAACTTGTGCTTACTTTATTCCCTCTTGAAATGCGAAGGTTTCCAGTTTGTGACAAATATGTCGTGTCTAGCCAGCCCTTAGCTTCATCCCCAAGAAGTCTGAAAGGTACTGGATATGGAACCTTGAAGGGCAGAAACTTGAAAGAGAAAGCAGCTTTATCAAACTGGAAAAGAATCCTTTCTCCATCTTTTACTGCTGCCGCCGCCTAAAAATAATAAATAAAATTCACTTGTAATGACCCTAGTGTATAACAAAGTGAAGAACACTGCTCAGAGATTCTTGTTGTCCCTAAAAGTCATCTTAGTATTCACTTACTCACCAATATGCAGTGATTTCCAATGAAAAATGAATCATACCTCAACTTTCAGTTCCCCTATTACATCAGAGAATCTCACAATGTTGGACACGCGGGGATCATCTGTTTGAAGAAACACCTCTTGGAATACACTGAACGAGTCTACACCAACAAATGTCCTCTGTAACCACATAGAAACAACGCTTTAGTATGTATTTAGGATAATCACATCCCACTACCCGAAATCAACTACTCGATCTTATCCCCTTCTTTTCTCCTTTAACTGTTAATTTTCTTGCATAGGGCGAAATATTATTTGAAAATCTAACCTGTATTGGCGACGCTGTTCCCGGCCTAGTCGTGAACATTAACTGCCATCTGCCCTCAATCAAGCTTGAGCTTGTCTGCAGATTATGACACAAATGCTTTTCGTTTTGTTCTCATATTAGACAAACTAAATTATTCAATGCCATAACATTACAACTAACTAGTTGCTATATATGCCTATATTTCCCAAGCTCTATTCAATTGAATAAACTAACAATATGAACAAATACAATCAAACACCAGTTTAAGATGCAGAAAATAAAGAATAAGAGTAAATATCAATTTTGGTCCCAGGACTATTAGCATAGTGACAGTTTTGGTCCACAAGTTTCATGACCGACAAATGTTCAGTAGACAAAAATAACGGCGATGAACCTTGTTGGAAAAAATAGCATAAAATAGCAAGAAATGACATTTTAAGTAGCTATTTTGTGGTACAAATATTAGTGGGCACTTTCGATTTGGGTCGAGTCAAAGTGGATTCGGGTCTTCACTGTTTTTTCGTAATTTTGGTATTTACTCTGAAGAACAAACATTAACATATAAATAAGAAGAGAGTAAAGAAGATTCTTACTGGATTACTAATGCCTTCCAAACCTTCCAGAATCCTCACAGCTTTTTCAACCTCCTGCACATTTGCTCTCAAACTTAATTCTCAGAAATTGAATTGGAAACACATACATTAATAGTGCCTTTAAACGAGCTTCATAAACATTGAATTGAGTTCAAATGTGATGAGCATGAGCATCTACCTGAAGCTGCTGCGGAGAAGCGGAGCGGCCGCGGCCCTGGATGCCAATGAGAGCTTCGATCAGTGAATTCTCTTCTTTGGTGAACGGAGAAGAAGAAGACAACGAGGAAGGAGCCTCGGGTTGCTGCTGATCGACGAGAGAGCACCTTAGGGATTTCCGATTAGGGTTGTTTTGGGCCACAACTCGCCTCCACGGCCCAGGTTTACTCGGGCTGAGTGTCGGGCCTGTCTTGAACCAAAAGGAAAAGCCTGTGTTTGCAATTTCAACTGCCGCCATTGCAGATCTGAAGAGACCACCGGCGGGGAATAGTGGCGGCGGCGGTGACGGTGAAGGGTGGTGGGAGAGGCAGAGTGTGTGTCTAGGAATGAACCGTTAACGACAACCTCAACGAACTTGTCAGAATTATCTTTTTTTTTTTTTCTTAAATTTAAATAAATTATTCAGTTTTGCTTACGCTTAGATTTTCTTGGCATACGTGGGAGACTCGGGAGATTACACGTCAAATGTTATGGGACCTATAAATATCTTTGAGGTGCGAGTTTTAGGAAAATACTATTTGTACTCTTAATTTTTACTCACTCTCACACATCTTAATTTTGGAGATCGAGAGATCGTAAGTCAATTCACCAATTTGAGAACTCATCAACTAGCTAAGTCTTTTGCATTTGTAAATTGAATTCTTTATACTCTTCTTGTTGATTCGCTGAATTTTTTTTCTGAAGTTAATGGTGAATTGGACAGTTTTTTTCATGGGATGCCCTCCAGATGTAGGAGCATGAATACTCCGAACCGGATTACCTAATCTTGACTGTTCTTTAATGCTTTTGTTTGGTTGCTTGCATCTTAATTTTGCGAACTACTATATTCTGACAGCTCCTGAACTAGTTCAGTAAGTGTTCGTTCAAGAAACGTTGACCACTTAACTAAGTTTGTTACTTAACAATTTAATTAACACTTAGGGGATGTTTGGTTCATGGAAAATATTTTTCAAAGGAAAACATTTTCCTTAAAGTGAAAGAAAATGTTGTTTTCTAGTGTTT